GGTTTTTCCGCCTGAATGCAGCCAGGTGGCAGAACATCGATGGGCCACTTGCACCTAGTCAAATCTTCCTGACACGGGCTTGCCCCAGGCCTCGAAACATCTGGCAGATCAACCAAGAATAATTATTTCTGTTTCTGTTTCAACCGCATTCCTCTTCTCAAGGATTCTTCAATGCCTGGAGAAATCTTTTCCTTCTTTTTTAAATTGGAGGATGAAATGTTTGCGTGAAGAGATTCAGAGTCAGGGTTTTTCAGCAGGAAAGAGATGGGTTTTAGGGCAGCCTGTGCAGGAGTGACTGATTGGACATGGAGTCCACGTGCCGAAAGGAGGGAGCCAGCTTTTGGTGAAGGGAGGATGAGACAAAGTCTTGGCCAATGGGGAACAGACGGACTTCTCACCGATGGATGTTCTCAATCATCCATATCATGATTGAGTCCCTAAGATACTTTTTCCAAAATGCAACTGGTCTTCCTTGGGTTTTTTTTATTTTTTCCCCCTCTGAAAACATTTTGCTTCTCACCCAAGAAGTTTCTCCTGTTGTTCAGAATGGAAGGAGTTTCTTGGATAAGAAGCGAGACATTTTCAAAGGAAAAAAAACCCAAGTCCCCTTGTCTTTTGAAGAAGCATCTTTGAAGGAGGGCAGGCGGCGCCTTCCGAGGACCTTGGAGAAACCCAGCATCTTCTGTACTGAAGGACGTTGCTTGGGGGTGCGGTTTGTGGCTCTGTCTGTCTTGGACCCAAAGCTCTTAGCAGGACAGTGTGGAAAACACGCTGACCATTTGTTTATCGGGGCTAATAAGGTGGACTTGCTCTTCTGGGCTTCCGAAGAATGCCCTCCTAGTGCACTGCAGGCCAAGGAGTTGTTTTCTTGGTGTTGAGGAAGGGAAAGGAGGAACCTAGAACCTAGAATTGTAGGGTTGGAAGGGATCTTGAAGGCCTTCTAGTCCAACCCCCTCCTTAAGCAGCACGCAGAATCATGGACTTGATGACGGAGCTTTCATCCCGCCCTTCGCTGTTCTTTCCCTTCTCAACCCAGGTTCCTGACAGAGTTGGATTTTTGCCTAGGAAATTCCCAGTCTTGAACTCTGTCTGGATATTCTCTCATTTTCATTCGTCTCTGCCTATTTCTTGGCCTCAAGGCCAGCCTGATCACCTCACGAACTGTCCACCTTCCTGTTGATTTCCTGCCTTCTTGCATTTGTCTTTCCATCCTACTTGGATCTAGCGTCTTGGTTTCAGTCCTGGTTCCATCGCTGCACCGACCGTGGGCAGTCCCTTCCAGCTCCTCTTTGTAATCTAGGATGGTCCAATAAATCACTTTACATCTTGTGGCCATCTCGGTTCTATCCGTCTTTTCTGCTTCAGCGGTCAAGCTACCACACCACCAACACCCCCCCAAAAAAAGTGGGGGGGCAAAAGAAATTTTTTTGGGGGGTGGGGGCTGCATTTGAGCTGGAAACTTTGCTCCAGGATCCCTTGCAAAGTCACGGGGGATATTGAGACACCACAAGGTGATTAATCAGTTGCCGAAGATCTCTTCTCTGAATTGCTTCTTTTGAACACGTGAAAGGCCTTCGAGGGATTTGGAAGCGTGTCCGTCACAAGGTTCTTGTCAAAGGAGGGAACACAAAGAGGTAGCAATCCAGAATTGGTTTTTATTTATTGCGGGGATGATCCATAAGGGCCAAGTACTTAAAGGATGCCGATTTAAATGTTTTTTCCTTCACCAATTTCATTGACGCTCGTGACACCTAGTGGCCTCGGAGAGCATTTCTTCCCCCTTTTTGCATCCTTTGACAGGAATTATGTCGCCTTTGCGTGCAATAGTCTTGACACTATGAGATTGCTGTTGTTGAAGTGTTTTGTGTACAGCAAGGGTCATTTTTATGTCGCTTTGTCATCCTTTTAAGGCTCTGATGCTACTTTACCTTGATCTGAAGGCTTCTGGGTGGGTGGATCTGTAACACCTGTGGTAAATCATATCCCTGCTGTGTGGCAGGTGCTGGTCTCTGGGTCACACCTTTGTGGAGAGAAGAAGTTTAATCCCAGAGGGGTTTGTAACCCTTAAGTGTTGTTCCCCAAACACTTTTCGTCCCTATTTGCATGTTTAAGCTGATTTTCTTAGCATTTTTCTTTCTTTTTTGCACGCACTAACTTTGGTACAGTGGCTGCTGATTTTAATTGCTATCCTGGTCTCTTTGGCCGCATACCGGTTGGATACCCATGTTTCTGATTTAACCAAGAAGGCCCGTTATCAAATGCCCGAGGATGCAAATGCAGCGCTTGTTTCGGTCTCATTAAAACAGCTGAGGCCTTATCCTTCCAAATGCTATGTTGGCAAAGTCTAGTCTAGCTGATATAGGAAGTAAAAACTCAGTTCTAGAGACCAACCTTTAGAGCAGTCTATCTCAACCTGGGCAGTTGGAAGGTGCGTGGACTTCAACTCCCGGAATTTGGACGCTATGCTGGCTGAGGAATTCTGGGAGTTGAAGCCCACATATCTTCAAACTGGCCAGGCTGAGAAACAATGATTTCGAGAATATATTTAGTCAAGACAGTGCCTGGCCTTTTAAAAAAATATTCCCTCCTATCCTATCCATACGTTCGCTCTTAAGAACTTGTCAAAGCCCAAACATTGTTATAAGCTTTGGATGATTTAGGTAAATCATATCTAATAATCACGAATTACTTTAGGGCGCCTCGAAAATTATTTAGGTAATGGAGCTGAAAACGCTCTGCTATTAGGATGTTAGGTAGTCAAACAAAGCCTTGTTTAATTCAGTTCCTTGCTTCCTCTGTGTTAGAAGGGGAATTCTTATTTGTGCTCCTAAATATGTATGAGTGTCAGGGACTGTATAGCGACATATTTAATCAGTCGACTGAGAAGGAGCAAAAATGGGCTTTTCTAAGAAAAATTGCTGTCGTTTTTTGATAAGTGTAGCTTTCTGCTTTTCAGAGGAAAGAAGCTTACAAGGGAAAGTGTTCCTATTGTAGTTTATGCATTATTCTGAATGGAAGGTTTGCGAATATAAGCCTTCTCCATTTTTCTTTAAGAAAAATACTTCCTACTTTCTCGACTTTTATTTTGTGACTAAGTGACTACGTTTCAGGAAACAGATACAGATAGTTAGCCTGCTTCTCTTTCCAAGACAATTCTCTGCATTTTTGAGGTTGGCCGCATAGCTACGATTCATCATACATCTGGAACATCTGCCCGTTGGCCCCCTTGCTCTGCTCGGCTCCTAGTTCCATCTGAAGCAACAACGAAGTAGAACAATTACGGAAGAATCTGGTGGCAGAGTGATAAAGTGTGAAACCGCACAGAAGCAGGGCCTGGGTTTTATGCTAGTCCCCACGCAGGATATTTCTGGGCGCTGCCTTCCAATGTGTAAGGTAGTTCCTTAAGGACAAAAAATGCCCATTTGAGAGAGTGGATTTTGACGCACGACTGCGAGATTCACTTAACAACTGCCATTAAAAAATCGATTGAAAAAGTTGGCTCTGGTCATGTGGTGCCTTGACTTATGGCCGCAATGATTTATGACTGGAATCCTGCTCCCAGTTGCGCTCATAAGTCGAGGACTACCTGTAAACAGCAATGGGGGCCTGGCTCACCTTGTCATTCCTTGATCCCCCAAACACCCTCTACCGCTTCTTCTCCGCTTTAATTCCCTCTTTGGCATAGACCAAGATTAGAGGTTCTCTTCCCCATCCAGCCATTCCCTTGGGGTGATGCAGACAAAATCCAAGCCCAGACTGAGACCAGCACTTGCTGTGGATCAGGTGCTATGGCCCGAGTGCTCGAGAAGGACCATCCCGTCAGCTGCATCTCACCGTAAATGAATTTGCCACCTGTTCCATCCTGGCGGATAAAAGTCACCGTCCTTCTGGCGTGTAACTCCAGGAACGATTATTCTGCGAAAGCTGAATCTTTTGTAACCCAAAACTTTTGCCTTCAGAGCTCAAGGCCGGGCGCTTCTCTGCTGTCTTGGAGCCTCGTTTTGCCAAAGCTTGAATGTGATACGTCAAGAGGATCTCGGCCACCATATTGGTGTCAACAAGAGAATTGACTCTGCTTTAACTTTTGACAGTCTTTCAATCTGAAAAGGTGTGGAGGGGTTGAAGGTCTTGTGGTTGAGTGAAGGGTGGCAGTTTTGTCCCATTCAGCTGGGTTTTGTGCAAGGCACTTCCAGAAGATCTCAGCCAAGGCCATCCAGAAGACTGCAAGTGATCCACGTGAGAAGACCTCAGTGTAACCAATCAGAATCTCCCCGTGTCTTACTTAAAAATAAACCAGACGATTTCCAATCTATAGCTAATTTATCTTTGCCTGGAATGAATTCATTTTGTATCATTTGGAAGCTTATCTGTCCACCAGATGTGATGGTCCTGCTGGCCAGGAGACATCTGAAGGACAGCAGATCCTTGGGAGGGTGTGAAATGGGCAGACTTGGCATATTATGAGCCCATCCTGGCAACAGGGAAATCGGGCTGCAAAATGGTATTTTTAATCTCTGTAAAAATTGTATTTTTAATTTCTTACCCAGTGGGCCAAGATTTGAGTAATCCAGCTTTATTGGAATTTTATCTGAACGGCATCATCTTTGGTAGCAATTTAGCTTTTACGAGATCAATGCAATTGCATGTTGTTGCCATCTTTAGATCTTTTGTGGTTTCTCTTCTCTGCACAGTTTTGGCCAAAGGGAGATCTCTTGAGTCCAGTCCTTCTAGGTTTGGAGACACTAAATCTGACAACATTGTGCATTTTAAAGCACCCTCTCAAATGACCCATTTTAATAACCTGAAAGCTATTATATAACAAGCAGCCATAAATTAGTACAAGGCCCTGGGGGAACCCGCACCATTCAGCAATGAATAGTTAATGTGGTAGAATGTTGAGCAGGTTATTAGTTTTCAATGTACAAATGCTGATCTGGGAATGCTTTTTATAAGGTATTTAAAAGAAAATATAATTAACTGGTGGCATGCTTCTGTTGCAGCTCAAATTGAAATTATTCCATGCAAGATCTGCGGAGACAAATCTTCAGGAATCCATTATGGTGTGATTACCTGTGAGGGTTGCAAGGTAAGTTTTATGTTATACACACACCTGGAGGGGGGGAAGAGAGAGAGAGACACACACACACACAGAAACACACTTGTGTTGTGTGTATGTGAGAGAGAGGAAATTATTGTATCTGTTTATCCACTGACTTATTTGTCTTTATGCAAGATGAAGTATGGAATCTGGTTAGCAATATCAATAATCTGCCGTGGATGGATTTTAAAACTTCTGGTTGCAATTTCTCTCCTGAAGCTGTGCAGCCGTCCTGGTGGGGTGCATTTATTTTCCATCCTGTCCTTGAAATGAAAAAGGGCACCCGTTACATATTGGAAGGGCTTTTGTCTAAATTTCAGGGAGCGAATTGGGCACAAAATTTCAACAATTGAAGGTTGAGGGGCTGCCCATTGTTCTTGGTCCTATTTCTTTTTCCTTTCATGGGGGTGTCGCTGTTTGTAGTGGCAGAGTGGAAGAACTTCTAGGGTAGGGCTGTCCATATTTGGCAACTTTTAAGACTTGTGGAGTTCAACTCCCAGCATGGCTGGCTGGGAAATTCTGAGCGTTGAAGAAGGGGCTTTTTTTCAATTGAACTTCCTTGTTTTTCTTTGAAGAGGTTTCGCTGCTCATCCAAGAAGCTTCTTCTGCTCTGACTGGATGGTGGGGAATGGAAGGACCATCCAGTCAGAGCTCGAAGAAGCTTCTTGGATGAGAAGCGAAACCTCTTCAAAGAAAAACTACAAAGTTGAGTTGCCTTTTGAAAAAGTACTTTGGGGACATCCCGAATGGTGATGAAACAGTGATCCTGATTTTCGGGGGCAGAAGCTGAATTTCCAGGCTAGAAGGTAGAAAAATCCTTTACAAAGTGATCCCAAAGTTCTGAAAGTAGAATAGAAGTGTGTGTTGTTTTTTTAAAAATGTGTTTGTTTTAAAAATCCAGAATTAGGGTTAGAAAATTGGTAGAGTAAGGGAAAAACAACTCCCTGGTTCCTAATTGGCAATTATTGGAATATTGTGAAAGGTAATGATACATGGAAATCTGTAAGTGTTAGCTATAAATCATGAGATTATGAATAAGTCTTTGTTGTTACAGGCTGGTGTGTATTCCTTTCAGAAGGCTGCCATTAGAAGGCAGCTGTCAGCTGTTTTCTTGTAATTAAACAGCCAATGAGCAGCTAATTAAGACATATGTGTATACAGAAGTGGAAGTGGGCATGTTAATGAACTGTAGGAATCAATTCATTAAATGAAAATTGTCAAAAGACCAAACACCAAGCTTAGAGGCTCACAGCCCTGCCAGGTTCCTCGAGCAGTCAGGATGGAAGGAAAACACAATCACAGCCAGAAGTCAACAATGGGCCCTTAATCTTCTTGGGAGGGGGAGGGAAACCATCTCCTCTTCTTCACACCAATCCCTTGGCCTTCTCGGTGCTCCCAAGCACATGATTTAGACCGGGGGTGCCCAACCCTGGCCACTTTAAGACTTGTGGACTTCAACTCCCAGAATTCCCCAGCCAGCAAAGTTGAGAGTTGAAGTCCTCCAGGCTTTAAGTGGCCAAGGTTGGAGACTTGGAGACTCCAAGACTTGGAGACTCGCTTGTCAGAAGGTCGCCAAAGCGGATCACGAGATCCCAAGATGTTGCAACCGTCATAAAATACGAGCCGGTTGCCAAGCACCTGGATTTTGATCACGTGACCCCGGGGAATGCTGTAACGGTCGTTAAGTGTGAAAAAAGATCCAAAGTCGCTTTTTTTCCCCCCCAGTGTTGTTGTAACTTCGAACGGCCACTAAACGGATGGTTGTAAGATGAGTGTCAGCTTTGGAAGCCCTATTGAGACCAGATGCTTCCACGCCGCCACATTTTGAGCCTGGGAAAGTGGGAGGGGGGGATTTCTGGGGGGGTTATGTAGTTAAGACATAACAACATTCTTTTTCTAATTCAAGGTCATGTTATTTTGTGCATAAGTGAGGGGAAGTCTCAGGTTGGGACGGATGGTGATCGGGGCTCGTGATGCGATGAAGGGTGCCGGGTGTGGATTTTGTAGTTTTGACTTATTGCCCAGAACTTTCAGATTCGGGATTCCCCAGTTGTGCCAGTTTACTATCCAAACAAAAAGGAACTTTTGAGAAGATGCCTGTCTCGGGGTTGTTATTGGTTGGCGTGGAGGTTTGCTGGGACGCTGACGTTGGGACTCCTTCTACAGCGTCCTTCCCGCCTTCTTTCCCTCTCCCCCCGGCAGGGCTTCTTCAGGAGGAGCCAGCAGAGCAATGCCACCTATTCCTGCCCTCGCCAGAAAAACTGCTTAATTGATCGAACCAGCAGGAACCGCTGCCAGCACTGCCGCTTGCAGAAATGCCTGGCTGTGGGGATGTCGCGAGACGGTGAGCTTTCCTCCGCTGCCTGGTGGGTTCGTGTATGCGTGTGTGTGTGTGTGTGAGAGAGAGAGAGAGAGAGAGACCCTGCCCAGCTTTGGGGGGCTCCTCCACTGCCTTGCGATAATTCATTCTGAAACCCACTCTCTTTAGTAGCCTCGAGGGGGTTTGGTTCCCTGCAGCCCTGCTACACGCCATTATCCAAATGTTACCGCGGCATTCAGCATTTGCATTTAATGTACACCAATGTGTACTTCTCAGAAAGAATTTTCCTCACCTGGCGAAGGGTGGCTTCAAATTTTCCTTCCTTCCTTCCTTCCTTCCTTCCTTCCTTCCTTCCTTCCTTCCTTCCTTCCTTCCTATAAAGAATTCTGTTGTTCTATTCTATTCCTTCCTTTCTGCCCCTTTTCTCTCCTTCCTTCCTCTTTTCTCTCCTTCCTTCCTTCATTCCTTCCTTCCTTCCTTCCTTCCTTCCTATAAAGAATTCTGTTCTATTCTGTTCTATTCTATTCCTTCCTTTCTGCCCCTTTTCTCTCCTTCCTTCCTTCCTTCCTTCCTTCCTTCCTTCCTTCCTTCCTTCCTTTCCAGATGTATTCTGAAATCTGAGTGTTCAGACAGGTGGGAATCCCAACAGGGATTAAAATGTTTGTCTTTCAATGGCGTCAGAAGTGCAGAGTGCTGTGAGTCGGAGGGGGGAAAAAATCTACTTTTTTTTGTTGCATCAGAGAATCCTAAATTTAGGCACTTGGGCAAGTTAAATCACTTTGTACTTTTTTTATCTAGCTGAAATTTAGGCCTGACCAGTGGGTGGGCTCCCCCCCCCAAATCAAATGGCCCTTTGGATTTCTGACCTTTTGAATCTTGCGGATGTGCCTTTGAATGTAGCCGCCTCCCCAAAGCTGACCTTGGGGGTGGGGAGTAAGGGAAGGTGACCAGATCTGTGGCTTCGGACTCTCTTCCAGCTGTCAAGTTCGGCCGCATGTCCAAAAAACAGAGGGACAGCTTGTACGCAGAGGTCCAGAAGCACCGGATGCAGCAGCAGCAGCGAGACCACCAACAGCCCCCCGGAGAAGCGGAGCCGCTGACCCCGAGCTACAGCATCACGGCTAACGGCCTGACGGACCTGCACGACGACCTCAGTAATTACATAGATGGCCACCCTCCTGAAGGTAGCAAAGGCGACTCTGCGGTTAGCAGCTTCTACTTAGACATACAACCTTCTCCAGACCAATCGGGCCTTGATATTAATGGCATCAAACCAGAACCAGTCTGTGACTACACTCCCACGACGGGCTTCTTTCCATATTGCTCCTTTACCAATGGGGAGACCTCTCCTACTGTGTCCATGGCAGAATTAGGTAATAACAAAGAAGGGGAACCTGCCCCGTAGTTGCTCTCTTGGTTGCCTGTTGATGGAAAGCAACACCCCGCCCTCCCAAGAGGCTCTCTGGGCCTAGAGTTCAGCCCCAGAATACAACTTGGCTCAGGAAGAGTGGCTTGGTAGTCCCCTCCCCATCCCAGCTTGGGCTTTGTGGGTTGATAGTTTGGCTGTTTGATTGGCACTGATGATGATGTCCCCCAGTTTAGGTCGTGAAACATCTGCAAGGAAGCCACCAAGCTCAAAGAGCGCCAAGGACACCCTCAACTTGGCTATTTCACCTTGGTTGCCCTTCAAGGCTGTCTCAGGAAAGGGAATGTCGTGTAGATGTTGGGTTAGAGCGGTATTGGTTGTTTTCCTGGAAGGGACCTGACCACCTAACTCAGGGGTACCCAAACTTGGCAACTTTGTGGACTTCAACTCCCATTTTGGAAGTTGAAGTCCACAAGCCTTAAAGTTGCCAAGTTTGGGGACCTCTGATCTGGCTCTTCCCAAGCAATAATGATGACCCAACAGGCAAGTTTTTGGTGAAGATGGCCAATGGCCCCAGGGAAGTTTAATACTCTAGCAGATGAGCCGCTTGATTCAAGATCTGACGTGCAATGCAGACGGTTCAAAAATGTGCCTTATCGAAATGGAATACAAACTTAACAGTGTTGTATTCTTGCATGGCTCTCATTTATTTCTACAGTTATTACGGCAGTTAGAGTATTTCTGGGACTCCCACATTTAATGGCTTGCGAAACTGAGCAGCTTCATCAGACATTATTTGCGGGCTGCCTTATTGTACAGATAAAATTTGCTTGTGAATCCAGCATAGACTCCTGGTGCGTAAAAAGAGGCCCTTTGCCCAAAGAAGGAAGACGTGGCTCTGTGTACCAAATCAAGGCCAACAGGAATATTTTATTGGCGGTGAAAATTCGCCCCACGTGAAATCTGTGTGAGGGACAATTGTGTGCAGCATTGAAAGACAGTCCTCAAATTACAGCCATTTGCTTAGCAATTGTTCTGAGTTGAGAGTGGCACTAAAGAAGAGACTTGCAGTCGGTCCTTGCAGTTATGACCGCCGGGACATCCCCAGGGCCACACGATCAAACTTCGGGCGTGGTTGTATTTAGGATGGTGGCAGGATCACGTGGTCACACACTTGTGAGCTTCCCATCCGGCTTCCGACAAGCGAAGTCAGGGGGGGAAGCCGGGTTCGTTTAACGACTGCAGGATTGTTCACTGAACAATCGTGGCACAAAGGTTGCGAAATTGGGTGGGATTCATTTAATGACCACCTTGTTTAATAAGGGAAATTCTGGTCCTGATTGTAGTTGTAAGCCGAGGGCCACTTTTAAGCAAAGGCTTACCAGCCTGTGACAAACCCTTCTGTTCTTGGATAAATGTAGCAAATAACAACCTCTCTCTTGCAGGTGATACGGAATAATAATTCACAGTTGGGGAAAATCACCCCAGCGTAAAAGAGTGAATGGGTGATCTTCCTTAGACTGGCTCCTTAGTCCACTCCTTCAAAAAGACTTGGGTGCTTTGGCCAGCATTAAAATACAGTGCAGCAGCGTCCGGATGCTTTCATTTCCTTCCCTACCCATCTCAGGGGCTGCCCCAAAGAAGTGGGGGTCAAGCTGTTCTCCAAAGCACCAGAGGGCAGGACAAGAAGCCATGGGTGGAAACTCATCAGGGAGAGAAGCAACTTAGAACTAAGGAGAACAATTAATCAGTTGAACAGTTTGCCTCCAGAAGCTGTAAATACTCCAATATTGGAAGTTTTTTAAAAGATGTTGGATATCCATTTGTCTGAAGTGGTGAAGGGTTTCCTGCCTAGGCAGGGGGTTGGACTAGAAGACCTCCAAGGTCCCTCCCAACTCTGTTATTCTATTCTACCTGTCACTTGGCCATCTCTCCTCTTCATCAAGCGATCAGAAACGGTGCCATTCAGACAAATGCCAGGTTCCCCCAGCCATCCATCCATCCGTCAGGAGAGTCCATATCTTAAAGCTGAGAAAAACAGCCCCTTAGCCAGAATTGCTTGGATCCGGGGCCAATCCTCTGTCACTCACAGTGACTGTCAGAACTAGAAGTCAGGGTGAAAAAGGATGCCAACGGCATTAAGAAGCTCATTTCAGCCCCGGGTAGGTTAATAAGCCCGGGCCAGTTAGTCAGGAGGTGCACCGAGAAACCTGTGCAGCGTCTTGGCTAATGCGTGCAACCCTCTTTTTTTTTGCTTTTCCAGAACACCTTGCACAGAACATCTCTAAGTCACACATGGAAACCTGCCAGTACCTGAGGGAAGAGCTACAGCAGATCACCTGGCAAACGTTCCTGCAGGAGGAAATTGAGAACTATCAGAGCAAGGTATTTGGTTTTTTTTTCAGCCAATGGGGTTGTTCCTTTGAAAGATCGATTGCGTAGTTGTCAGCCACCCCTTTCCAAGCGCTTTGCCGCATGGGTTTTCAAAGAAAAAAAAATTAGTGCATTGTAATTAAATTAGCAAATTGGGGGGGGAAAAGGTAGCCTGGTCACCAGAACACCTGAAACAAGCAGTAGGGCTGTTGGAGTCCAAACCGATGCTTTGATTTCCTTAAAAACCGGATGTATTTGGATCGTTTGGAGTCTTTCCTGGGAAAAGTTTTGCACGCATTGTGAAGTCCTTGGCTCTTTTTTTCTCTTCTCCAGCAAAGGGAGGTCATGTGGCAGTTATGTGCGGTGAAGATAACAGAAGCAATACAGTATGTCGTAGAGTTTGCCAAACGCATCGACGGCTTTATGGAACTATGCCAAAACGATCAAATTGTGCTTTTAAAAGCAGGTTTGTGCCTTTTGTGAAATGCGTTGAAGGGTTGTGCAGTGTGGGTTTGCAACGGGAATCCAATCTTTCCAACAGCTAAAACTACAAACTTTCCTCTCAATTATTGTCAATCATGGGTTTCTCCGTTGCTCTGTTCGTGAGGACTAGTAATTGCTGCTAAGAAAAACAACAACCCCCAGTTAAATTTTTTTAAAATGACAGCAATAAGCCCTTTACGATAAATAAAACATGAAAAGTAGAAACTCCATTCGTTATCGAAGAGCACATTGGTGCTCAATTTAATTAAGACCACCTGCAACCTCCCGAAATCCTTGTTCATCATGTCATCGATTGCGTGGAGGATGCAACTTTAGCCTTTGAGGAAATCGTGTGTTTCTTCCTGGTGCTACAGAAGAATCCGGAGAAGGAAATTATGTGACAGTAAGGCAGATGTTGAGATCCACATTTGTTTCAGTTAATCCTAGAATCGCTCCGGTAAAAGTGCAATAATTATTTTTGACATGTTGCTGAAAGGTTTTTAGAGAGGCCCAAAAATCTAATAGTCTAAAGCAGTATTCCTCAACTGTGGCAGTGAAGACGGGTGGACTTCAAGTCCCAAAATTCAGCTTGAAGATGGATGCGGGTTCACCATTCTGACTGGGAAATTCTGGGAGTTGAAATCCACCCTTCTCCAAGTTGCCACGGTTGAGAAATACTAATCTTGAAGGATCCTTCAACAATAAATGAAGAAAATACTTTTTTTTCTTTTTCCATTAGTTTTATATGTATAACAAATAGATGAAATTGATTTAATAAACACCATATACGTGAACTTAATGTATTTTAGTTAATTGAAAATGGAGTTACAGCCCATAACAAGGCGTTCTTGGTGAACAAGACACACTTTTAAAAGCAACCTGAAGCCTATTAGTTCTTTAAGACAGACCTAATATTGCCACTGAAAAATCTTTTCCTATTTCGTTTAGGGTCTTTAGAGGTTGTGTTTATCAGAATGTGCCGTGCCTTTGACTCTCAGAACAACACAGTGTACTTTGATGGCAAATACGCTGGCCCAGATGTATTCAAATCATTAGGTAAGGCAATAAATGCTTCATTAGAATGGGTTCATACTCTTAAATGTCCTTTCTAAAAGTGCTGCTTTTTGAAAATTATTTTTTAATCCTAAACAAATATATTTTATAGAAATAACTCAAAGGATTAATCATAAATACCCAGGGGCACAATTTAATTCCTGTTCTTTAGCCTTCTGTGGGACTTAAATATCATACAATGGTACCCTGACATTTAAATTAAAAAATTAAGGGTTTAAGCTAGAAAAATATACCAAGCAGAGTTTTAGCATACTAAATGCAAATGTGTG